TCTATGGCAAGTATATAAGGCAAACAAAATTCAACCCAGTATTCAAGGAGAGGTCTCACTGAGGCTCTTCACAACTGCAGCAAGATATCTGTGCTCAAATCTCCTTTAAATGAATGCTACCATATTGTTTTCTATTCTACTTGCTTGCTACACTTGCATGCTAGCTTATAGTGACAAGGACAAGGGCACCCTGACCTGTTTGGACATTGTCACTTTCCAAACTCTTATCACTTAAGAAATATTCTGTTTTTCTGTTTTCTGTACCAAAATGAATAACTTCACATGTATTTGCATCACACTCCATCTGTCATACTCTGAGCTGTTTACCTAGTCTGTCTATGTCCTCCTGAAGCCTTCTTGAATCCTCCACACAAGTTAAATATGCACCCAATTTAGCGTTATCAGCCAATTTGTAAATATTATAATTGGTCCCCACATCCAAATTATCAATACAGTTTGTGAACAGTTATGGACCTAGCACTAGCTGTTATGTTACACCAGTAGTAACAGCCTGCCATCCTGATCTGCTTATTCCTGTGTCAGCTTTATATCTTTTAACCAATTCTCAATCCATACCATCTCCAATCCCAACCACCTAATTGTATTTATAAATCCCGTGTGTGGAACCTTATCAAAAATCCTTCTGAAAATCCAAAAATACTACATCCTTTGCCTATGCAACAAGCATCATCCTCAAAGCCTGCAACAAGTCTGTCAAATATGTTTTGCTTTTCATAAATCCATGTTGACTGTGCCCAATTTTTGCATTATTTCCTAAATGTTCTTTTGTTACATTCCTTAAAATAGATTCTAACATTTTCCTTACTACTGACATCAAGCTAACAGGCTTGTAATTCTCTACTCTCTTTCCTAAATAGTGGGGTTACATTTGCCATCTTCCAGTCAGCAGACCTAAATTTATGTAATTATAAACATTAACTACCAAAACATTTACAATTTCTATAGCTTTTCCTTCAATACTTTGAGGTGAAACTTATCTGATTCAGATTTATCAACCCTCAAACCAGCTAAAGTTTGAAATACTACCTTTTTACTAATGCTGATTGTTTTTCACTCTTCAATTACACAAGTGCCTTGATCACCCAGTACTTCAGAGTGATTTTTTCCATGTTGTTCATTAAACAGGTGAAATGCAAATGTTTGGTTTCTCTATTTCTCTGTTCTTCACTATGTATTCTCCTGTATTCACCTGTAAAAGGTCCACATTCATCCTTGTTCATCTTTGTCTAATCAAATATCAATAGAAACATTTATAGTCCTTACTCATGATCCTCACTTGCTTGCATTCATATTCTGTTTTCACTTTCCTCACCAGTTTCTTATTTCTGTTTTACTGGGTCTTAAATTGCCCCCAATCCTCAGGCTACTACAATTTCTGACATTCATAAAAGCCACTTCCTTTGCTCTAACTCAATCTTTAACTTCTTTCAACAACTATTCACCTTTTCTTTTAGTGTTTGTGTCTTAGAGGAATGTATGTCTGTTGTAAACCTTGTAGTATTTTTTAAATGTTAGCCATTGTCCGTTTACCATTGCATCTTTTAGTGTACTTTCCCAATCCGTTGTAGCAACTTGCCTCTCATGGCCTCAATGGTTTCCATTGATTGGACTAGATTAATTTTGAGTGCAGTTTTTCACCATTTAAATAATATGGAGGTCTTCTTTTCTTCCTGTAGAAGTGTATAACATCATTTTTCCCATTCACAAAATCTGTCTATATCCCTCTACAGACTCTTTGTGACATCCTTGCCACCTACCTTCCCACCTAATTTTGTATCATTTACAAACTTGGTGATGGTTCATCATTTCTCTCGTACAACTCATTACTTTATATACTGTCAATAATTCTGGCCCAGCACTGCTACCTCTGGCACTCCCTAGATACAGGTTGCCATACTGAAAATGTCTCCCTTATTTCAACTCTCTGTCTTGTAAACATATTCAGATAGAGTACTTCAGCCTTTTTAACATTATTCTCCATTTTGATCCCACTTAACACATTTGGTCTAGCAGTTTGTCCTTTGCTCATTCCTATCTTAGTAACCTTCTCCAGCTCTACCCCCATCTGAGATTTCTGTGCTTGTCCAATCCTGACATATTATGCCTACTTAATTTTAATTACTGTATCAATGTTGGCCATGCTATCAGCTGCTTACGTTCTAAAACTCCTTCCCTAAACTCCGTTCCTTCTTTACGTCTTCCCCTTTTAGGATACTTCTTAAGACCTACATCCTTAGTCACCTGTCCTAATATCTCTTTATGTGACTTGGTCTGATAATTAGGACCAGAGGGCATATTTCAGAATAAAGAGGACCAATTTAAGACTGAGATGAGGAGGAATTTCTCCTCTCAGAGGGTTGTGAGTCTTTGAGGCGCCTTGTCACAAAGAATTTGTGGGACAGAGACCTTGTGTGTATTTAACGCTAAGATAGATAGATTCTTGATCAGTCAGGAAATCATGCGTTATGGGGTAAGGGCAGGAAAGTGAATGTGAGGAATGTCGTATCAACCATGATCCTATTGAATCAAGGGGCTGAATGGCCTACTCCTGTTCCTATTTCTTATGGTCTTATGATCTAATCTTCTGGTGAAGTGCCTGGAGATGTTTTATTATCTTAAAGAGATCATATAAATGCAAGTTGTCCTTATTACTGAAGTGATGAGAAAGGTCAAATGAAAGATTTATCGTCACGAGTTGAGCAATTTTTATGGCTAGTGCTAATTCCTAAATTCTATTCCTTTCTTTCTCAGTAATGCATTTGTTATTGCTGAACCAGTGATAAATTGGGATTCTGAAGTAGGCTATATTATCATCACATCACTATTCAGTTTGGAGGAGGTAGCTCCCCCTGTTCCAAACTGGGCTAATCCAAATTGTTTGCAAACAAAATGCAACAATTATTACAATATGTTACAAATTATTATTTGTGTGATCTATCCTTGACCCTTGGAAGAGAGAAAGACTTGCATTTTTGTAACTTCTTTCAGATATCCTTTCAAGATATTATAAACAGCTTCAAACTTGCAAACACATTTTTTAAATAGAGTTACTACTATGACATAGAAAACATGGTAGCAAGTTGTGTACAACAGGGTCCACATAATTTGTTTTAGGTGATTAGGTGCTAAGAAATAATTATTTAGGTTGGCCAGTGAGGAGAACTTCTGCTATTTATAGTGCCAAAACTGCAATGAAGGAATAACTGATAGATGTGGAATTTGAGCAGGGCTTGCATAAATTGGGATTGGGACCAAAAGGGCAGACCAGATCTATCGGCACAGCTAAAACACTGGACCTCTGACAGTGCAGCACTCCATTTCTACTGCACTGGAGTTTCAGCCTAGATTTTTATACTCATATCAGCTGAATTTAGTCTGGCCCCAGAAACTTGGAGGCAACCCTACTCTGGGCATTTCCAGGAGCCCTGACAGGATTAAATATCTAACAGACAGTTAACTGCCTGCTGTCAAGGTTTTAGTACCTTTAAAAGCAAAGAACCTGCCTCCAAAAGTTGCCAGCCAATCAGGGCTAACAGCTGTTTAGTCCCAGCAGTGCCACCAGGACTGTGGCAATGATTGGGACTGCAAAAGGCTCCGGAAGAGAGATGAGGGGACACATTCCCCAGAGACAGTTAGACAGCCTCCAGCAGAGGGGTCAGAGGAGGTGAAGATTAATGTGCAGGGCAAGAGGAGTTCTTCCAGTAGGTTTCTAATCAGGAGCAAACCCTGAGCCCCTAGAGTCACCCAGGTGAAGTGAAAGGGCCCTTACGGGATCAACACTTGATCACAAGGGCTGGAAATGACAAAAAATCTGTCCTCAATCTTCTTGCCCTTGACAAGAAGGGAATTAGGAAGGTGACGAGTTCTCGATTTCATGCGTTCCTCCCAATTTAAATGAGGTCCTCACTGCCCAGCCATTTTCCCAGGGGAGAATTAATTTCAGCTCATTGAGTGGAATTTGAACCTTTCAGAAAGGACAATGTTCTCCACAGAGGCACAGCACACAGTTGAATTCTTTATTTGAGAGTGAGCAAGGCAATTTGACCACAGAGGTTGGTACAACCAAGCCTGGTACTTGCATTCACCATGTCTACTTTCCTGGATGGATAGTGAGCAGACTCATAGTTAATTGGTTTTTCTCTCTCTAGTATAAGCGTGTGGTGGCTAGTTGTAAAATCCTGATTAAGATTAGCCAACCTCAGTATAGAATTTGAAACTTCCTGGTCTATATCACATCAATTTATTGACTGAGTCATCTGGAGAGCCAATTGCCCTTGATTCATGGCAAAGAAGTAATAATGAATCTTTTTATATCCCTCTTGAGTTGAAATTTGAATATAGCTACTCTTTCATTGAAAAGAGGTATTCTTCATATCTGGGAGCAGAGGGAATATTGCAATATCCCTGCAATGATAAGTTATTTTGAAAAATTGGAAGGCTCCAGTAGGATAGAATAATCAAACCTATGCCTCCCATCTCCTGGTTCTCAAGTGGCACGAAGTTTTGGAGATCTTGTTGAAATAACCAAAGTATTCAATTTCTGCTATTTCAAACTATAGAAAGCCACATGAATATCAAGCAAAAGCAAACATGATAAATCCTTCATACTTCAATTGAAAAACTGATAAACATAAGGACCAAACTCTTATAGGAAGTAATTATGATCAAAAACAATCTCAAAGCAGCCTTATTATATTGTCTTTTCTTCCCTTCCCTAGGAAAACCAAGACAAGCTGTTGAAACTATCTCAAGGAATGTCTGCAGATGGGGATACAGTGCACAAAAGAATTCAAAGAGAACTGTGTGTAGAGAAAAACTGGACAAGAAAAATGTCATGAAGCAAGCAAATAACTGCACCCCAGTTTACTAATTAACAGTTCAAAAACATGAGTACACTTTGACCCCTGCAAAATATCTTAACTTGTTGAGCAGGTGAGTGCTGTTGAAAGCTTTTCGCTCACAAACCCCTCGAGCACAAGGGGATGGCTCTGCACAGTTTCATTCTCTGGGTCTTACTAGCCTCGTTGATGAATGCTGCTGGAGTTTATGCTGACTGCTGGCTCATTGAAGGGGAGAAAGGATTTGTGTGGCTGGCCATTTGTAGCCAAAACCAACCACCATACGAATCCATTCCTCAGCACATCAACAATACCATAGTGGACCTCCGGCTGAATGAGAACAAGATCAAAAGCGTTCAGTATTCCTCGCTCAGCAGGTTTGGTAACCTGACGGAACTCAATTTGACCAAGAATGATATTTCCTACATTGAGGATGGAGCCTTCTCCGCCCAGTATAACCTGCGTGTTTTGCAACTGGGATTCAATAAACTTCGGAACATCACTGAGGGAATCCTGCGGGGGCTGGGCAGGCTTGAATATCTCTATCTCCAGGCCAATCTTATTGAGGTGGTGAGCCCCAATTCCTTTTGGGAATGTCCCAACATTATGAACATCGACCTGTCCATGAACCGGTTGCAAACCTTGGAAAGCTCCACCTTCCTAGGTCTCAGCAAACTTACTACTTGTGAACTCTATGGCAATCCATTTTATTGCTCCTGTGATCTGCTGGGCTTCCTGAAATGGCTGGTGCAGTTCAACAACACCACCAGGAGTTATGATCGGATGCAGTGTGAATCCCCGCCTCGTTATGCAGGCCATGCCTTGCTGAGCCAAAGCCAGACACAAAGCGCCTACAGCTTGCTTGTCTCAACATGCGCTGACACCAACATCTTTGACCCCAAGTTCATGCCAACCCAGATGCCCTCAACCACGACCACCTCAGACAGCCTTTGTGGAGCTGAAGACTGCTCCTCAGGTGATGATCCCACTCCCATTATAACCTTCCACTCCCCTACCCGCGAAACACGTGCACCAGCAATAAAGGTGGAGCAGGTTACCTACACAAGTGCCACTTTGTTGGTGCAGATTCCCCGGCCGTTCAGTAAAATGTACATCCTGGTGGAATACAACAACAGCTTTTATGCAGATATAAAGAAGTTGCAAACAGAACAAGAGGTAATTAAGCTGGACAGGCTCCAGCCCCACACTGCCTACACATACTGTGTGGCTTCTATCCGGAATGCCTTAAGATACAATCAAACCTGTGTCACGTTCTCTACCGGAAGTAACAAGACAAGAGGCACTGTGCCCCCACCATCAACTGCCACGCACTATATTATGACTATCCTTGGCTGTCTCTTTGGGATGGTCATAGTGCTCGGCCTGGTGTATTACTGCCTGCGCAAGAAGAGACAACACGAGGAAAAGCACAAAACGCCTGGCAGCATGACGAAGACTGCTATTGAGCTGAAGTATGGAGGGGAAATGGAAGCCAGCGCTATCTCTCACTTAGTTCAGAAACCAATGCCAGCCTGTGCGGCTGCACCCAGGATGCCTTTCCTGCCATCGTCAGGGGATACAGAGTCACATAAGCTCCAGGAGCTGAGTGAAACGCCCAAAACCACTAAGGGCAACTATATCGAAGTGAGAACAGGGGAGCATTCTGATCGGAGGAACCTGGAAGGAGGTGGACAAGGCCGGAGTTCTGCAGCGGAGATCTCCACCATTGCCAAAGAAGTGGATAAGGTGAACCAGATCATCAATAACTGCATTGATGCACTGAAATCAGAAACTGGCTCTTTCCAAGGAGGAAAGGCTGGGGCCGTGGCTTCAGTGGACCCTCAGGTGTTAATGATCACTGAGCAACCCCAGAGCAAGGCCGGATTCCTGTCGCCCATTTCAAAGGAGAGTTACCATCCACTGCAGAGGCACAGCAGTATTGAAGCCACCCCGAAACGCCCCAGCACCTCCTCCAGCGGCTCTGCAAAAAGTCCCAGATCCTTCCACTCTGACACCTCGGTGCCAGGGCACGCCTGCAGATCCGAGGCACAGTACATCGAGAAGGCTTCTCCGATCGCAGCTGGCAGCCCAGCCACAGTCCCACGGGTACAGCAGCGCAGTGAGCACCGCCATACATACCCGGGCCGGCGCCAGACCGAGCAGCCACCGCCAGAGGGGCCGAGCGGCCGCAGCAAGCCCTCCATCCTGGAGCCACTCAGCCGGTCCCGGCGGGAAATGCCATACTCCCAACTGTCACCTCAGTACCATAATCTCAGCCACACATCCAGCCCAGAGTACAGCAGCAAGCCGCCACTGGGAATCTGGGAACGCTTCAGACTGCACAAGAAGAGGCACAAAGAAAGTGAGGAAGAGTACATGGCAGCGGGACATGCCCTAAGGAAGAAGGTGCAATTTGCCAAGGATGAGGACCTGCACGATATCCTCGACTACTGGAAGGGTGTCTCCAATCAGCACAAATCTTGAGTCCTCAAACTATTAAGAGACTAAAATTGGACCAAAAAACCCCACAAAAACTTTACAGCTGCTGTTTTTAACCTGACCAGCTCTACTGTTCTTAGAAACTTTAGCCTCTCATAAGTTTGTGCACCAAAATCCTCCAAACTGAATTCTAAAACCTGTACAAATAATTTCTCTTTCTTTAATTATATATATAATATATAAATACACATATATAAAGGACACCCAGAAGCCTTGGAATATTGGATGTTATTTATCGCATGACTCTGTCCTGTGACTGTGACTCACTGTAGTGTACATGGGGCATTGTTCGTTGTACAATGTACACCGTGACTGGACTGTGCTGTGTAATTGTAGCTCACACACCGCTCACACCTTGCATTGTACAGTAATATTTACCAGTAAATCTCCCCCTTTACCCCTGCAGTTCTGTACAGATAAATTTCTATATTTGCAATGATGTTTCTGGATTCTTTTGCTGGTTTGTATCAGGTTTTAATTTTAGTCAGATTTTAGGGAACAGCCTATTTGTTTCCCATTGAATGTCTGACAACTGGCCCTGATCATTGGATAAAACTGGACTGGTGAAAGAACTCGACTGAGTGGTTTCTTCTGACACATTTTCTTTCTGTCTCATTGGTCCATGTCATTTGCTCTCTCAGAGAGATTAATGTCTTCACTGCCAATGGGACACAAAACTCACCATATCCTATGGGGGTCAGGCTGGTTCTGTAGGAGGTGACATTGTAAAGTTTAAGTAAATTGGAAGATCTAAGTGAAGTTTTGGAGTACTATTCAAGATCCTAGTCTTCCTATTCTGGAAAGGTTATAGATGTGCTGGAGAAGGTGAAAATGAATTCACACTGAAGAAACCAGAACTGAAATAAAGTACTGTACTTATTAGGGAAAGCACAACAAGCTGGAACTTTTTTTTTAGGAAAAGAGAGCTGAAAGTGACGTGAAAATTATCTAAGAAGTTTGATAGGTTAGATTTAGATTAGGAGGAAATGTTTCAACTTATTGGAGAGGGCAGAAATAAGGTCGGAAAGATAATAAATCCAATCCCAGATATTGGTTAGAATTATGTAACTCGCTATCATGTAGTCGTAGAGCTGAATAGCATAGATACTATGGACATCAGAAAAGCACACAGGGGAGAAAAGACTAGAAGGATCTGTTGATACTGTTACGTGAAGAGGAGTGGAAGAGGGCTTGTGTGGATGGATCGTTTGGGTTGAATAGCCTGTTTCTGTGCTGCAAATATCTTATAATACTTTGTTGTACACCTCATCTGATTTTGTTTCATGTTAAATCTCACCTTTTAGGTGCGCTAAAGTTAAATTTATTCCTACTCTCTCTCCCAGTGGTTATTGTATGTAGTCTTTGTAAAGTAATTGGATTAACAGATATTACCTTCGGCATATTTTCTAAGTGCCACAATGCCCGTGTATGTACGTATTGGAAAAAAGCCTGCAACTCCTCCTGACTCTGTGAATGAAGAAAGAAAGAATTCCTTTCAGTTATACAGTGCCTTTCACCACCTCGGGACATTCCAAAATGCCAAGTATTATTGAAGTGCAGTTACTGCTGTAATTCAGGAAACAGCAACAATTTGTGCACAGCAAGGATCCACAAAACAGTAGTAAGACAATATCAAAATAACTTCTTTTTAGTAATGTTGATTGAAGGGATAGATATTGACAAGAATTCCAGGGATAGCTCCTCTACTGTTCCTCAAAATAGGCAATTGGGATATTTAGGTCTCAACTTGTGTTTATTGATGTATGATCATGAAGGCTGCATCTTATGACTGCCTTTCTGAACAATTCAGTCACTCACCCTACTAAATCAAAAGGTAATGGCTCTAAACCTTACTCATGACCTTGCTCTGGATAAAATGTTAAACCAAGATCTCATGTCTGAGATTCAGGTAGATTCTTGACATCCAGTGGCAATATTTAGCTAAGAACATATGGATTCTGCTAGTCTTCCTCAAAAAAATGCTAAAAACAGATTAATTGTTCATTTGTCTCAATGCTGGTTGTGGAATCTTACTATGCATAAAATTGTACTGTTAAAAACAATTAGGATAGATCTTGACTTTGTGCATTAGTATAAAATGGGTTACTTTAAAGGAAATAATATTTGAAAGATTTAAAATCTGCAGCCTGTTTTAGACTATCATGAAGAGTTACGATCTACCTGTGAGATGTTTGTGAAAAGTGATAAGGCACAACAGAGATCAGTAGGATAGCACAGGGTCAGACCATACCACTGTGTTGATTTGACTGAGCCCAGTTTCTAAGAGAAATAATATCCCATGATAGCTCTCAGAGCTTTCTATCAAATATTTTACCAGGTACATTCCTTGACAGACTACTTGACTAACATACTCGTTAGTCTGTGCATAAGTCAAAATTCTTTTGACCTCCCTTCCTCTAATGCTGTCTTGAAGAATCTGTAATTGTGTGAAACATAATGTTGCTTATCTTGTCTATATCCTGCAAAATAAAACTTCACGTCACCTTCTTTCTATTTAAACCTTGTTTCCTTATCTCTATTTTAGCAATTTTGCATTAATTAGTGCTTTCTTGAACTTTCTTATTCTTTGCTACATTCCAAGTACACCATGTGCATCCTCTATTCCCTTTCCATCTTGACTCTAATCCTATTAATTCTTTCATAAGATTGAAAAACCCTTCACCTTCTTCAGTATTCCCTTTATCTGAAAGGAAATACTTTTTAAAACTCAGGCACCCCATCATCTTGATATAAATGAATAAAACGAAGAATTATGGATGCTGGAGCACTGAAACACACAAACAGAAACTGCTGGAGAAACTCAGCAGGTCTGGCAGCATCTGTTAATGTTTCAAGCTCAGTGACCCTCTGTTCTGAAGGAAGGTCACTGGACTTGAAACGTTAAATCTGTTTTCTCTTCACAGATGCAGCCAGATCTAGATATAAATGATTGCCTAATTCCCATTTCCTGTTATATTCTGTGCAGTCTAACACTTTATGTATTGTTTTTGCATTGTCATCTTTTGCCCTTCATCTAACTTTTGCAATAAAACTAAGACTAGAAGCTTACATTGTTAACTAGAGAGTGGTTAGAATATGGAGCTTGCAATTGCAAGGTGTAATTAAGGCAAATAGCAAAGATGCATTTTTGTTAAAGTTAAGTATAGATAGAAAGGAAGAAGGGCAAAGTTGATGGGACTGGATGAAGTATGGTGGGAGGAGGCTCTTGTGTACCACAAATTCTGGTATAAACCATTTGGGCCAAATGATTTATTTCTGTACTGGAAATTCTAAGTTATGTTATATAATATTGTATCATGTCCTGTTAATTATTTTTCTCTGTTCATGGGCACAAAAATGTTTTGCATCATTACTTACTGGAAGTGGTGAGATGATAACAAATTGGGGAGGCCAACAGGCCATTGGGGCATCTGGAACTTTTGTGAACTATAGGGTGAACAGCCCAACTCCTGAAGTGTTGAGATTTAAATACTGAGGAAGAAATCAAGGAAGGGTGGAGAGGAAAATTGGAGGAAATTTGAATTAAAGTCAGTTACAGAAAGATAAATAAAGACAGGAAAAGAAAATCTAGATTCAAAGTGAAATACAGATACAGACAAAAAGTAATGGAAAAGAATGTATGTATTAAATTTTATGTTTTAAAATCTCTAAAGGCATTTCACTACATGAAGCAAAACAGAAATCCATAGTTTCAATTGTTCAATTTGTGGACCAGCAAGGTTAATTAGAATCGAATTTAAAAATACAACTGTGCTAAACAAAAAGGTATTTTTCAAAGACAGCTGCAAAAATTGACCAGAAAGTTCTTAAGATTTCATTGTTTATTTTTTAATTGTCTGAATATTCTGACTGATTTACACATTAACAGTGGTGTGCATTGTTAACACATTGTTACTTTCCAGCAAGAACCAACAATAAAGTCCAGTGGCCCTAGCTACAATTCAGCATTGAGCCAAACACGAAGCAGCTATCCAATCTCTCTCTCTCTCTCACTTTTTTAATGAGTTTATTTACCCAATTATCAACCCAATGGTCCGTTACTATAAGGGTTACACACTCCAACTTGAATAGCGGACACACCCATAAACCAAGTAAAAATCTCCATACAAGACAGCATCGGAGTAGGGGCTTCTGAGCCACAGCATGTCTGCTCTGACCTTTTTTTTTTCTCTTTTCTTGTTTTTTTCTCCTCTCTCTCTACTTTTACTTACCTCCTGTCCTGAGCTACGTTGGTGGCTAGAGCCCAGCATGGAGCTTAAGCAAGCCCACCACACAGACTGATAATGGGTGAAGCGTGCGGAGCTCGAGTGAGCCAGAGCTGACCTCGAGTGGGCCCAGCATGGAAGAGAATGTGCCCAGAGTGGACCTTGATTGAGCCCGGCATGGACCTCGAGTGGGCCCAGCGCGGGGGAGAATGTGCCCAGAGTGGACCTTGATCGAGCCCAGCATAGACCTCGAGTGGGCCCAGCAGGAAGGAGAGCGTGTCCAGCACGGACTTTGATCGAGCCCAGCATGGACGTCGAGTGGGCCCAGCACGGAGAAGAACGTGCCCAGAGTGGACCTTGATTGAGCCCAGTGCAGAGAAGAGTTGGCCCAGCATGGACCTTAAGTGAGCCCTGATTTACTTTTCTACAGCAAGCACAAGACCTGGCATTGGAATCAGCAGCTGCTACACCAGGAGAGGTAATGTCGGCAAGGTAGGCCCAGCGGTGAAAGATGGCACCTGAGTATCGGCGACTTCATCGTTGGTGGTGTCCAAGGCTGGCAGCAGCTAAACAGCGGCAGAAGGGCATGACAACGACATCGATGAGGGACGTGACTCCGATGGTGGTCGGTCTGTCACAGGCAGTGGCGAGATGGTGTTGGAGGAGTATGGGCCCAGTGGCAAAAGATGGCACCTGAGGCTCGGTGACTTTGACGTTGGGTGGGTCTGGTGTAGAGGGTAGTGAAGCAGTGGAGGAGGG